ATTCTGTTATTCTGCTATTCTATTATTCTTTTTACAGCTCTCAAATTAGGGAGGGTCCCTTCTAAGATATTTGGCACACTCGGAAGTCCTGCTTTGGGCTAAGCAGTCTTTTATCTGACTTTTCCCTTGGTTGTGTTGCATTTCCCTATCTTCCAAGGTCAGATATTACAAATATCTGGAAAGAGAAAGCTAGAACAGAGCACTCTCCGATGTAACAAGCTGATAGTTGTTCAGAGATTCTTTTGTTAGCAGGAGTCAAATGGATTTTTTTTTGCTCCATCCGGTTAGAACATTAATAAAGCTATACAGATCTCATTTATTTGCACAAACTAGGCTAAGATGCCCATTGTTTGCCTATGTGCCTTAAAGTACTTGGTTATTTGCTGGAGCAACATTCCGGTATTAAGAAGGAAATCTCATAAACTGGTTTGTTTCTTGGTCGAGTTTTAGATGTTGCAGTGTGTGAGATCAGACTCTGCGGCAATGAACTGTAGCCCACTTTGCTCTTTTCCGAAAAGGTTTGGTGAAATTGAATGTGATTCCTTTGCAATAAGCAACGTCGAATCTTTGCAATTCCTGAATCTGGCTTGTCAAAATGGACGGAGAAGAGAAAACGTATCTCCCAGGCTTTCACAAATCCATTATTAAAGAGGAAAAGTAAAGTTTAGCAAACAAGAAAGAAGGAAGGAGAGAGGGAGGAAAGGAAAGGAAAGGAAAGGAAAGGAAAGGAAAGGAAAGGAAAGGAAGGGAAAGGCAAGGCAAGGCAAGGCAAGGCAAGGCAAGGCAAGGCAAGGCAAGGAAAGGAAAGGATAGGAAAAGAAAGGAAAGGAAAGGAAAGGAAAGGAAAGGAAAGAAGGAAGGAAGAAGGAAGGAAGAGAGGGAGGGAGGAACAGGAAAAGGAGAAGGGAAAGCAGAAGCAGAAGCAGAAGCAGAGTTCTAGGAACTGTTGTGGATTCTCTTTCCAAGTAACATACCCACAGAAAGCAAAACTTCATGTCAGGTAGATTCCTCAAAGAACAGCTTTACTGGATATGCCATATTGTCACCGGCTGGTGAAAACCGAGCCTAAATATTCCCGCAGTTTTTACCTAATTAAAAGTGGAAGTTTTTCACTTTCTCAAAACAATCAGTCACACGGTCCAATCAGGATACAGTCCAGTTGCTAGGTGACCTCAGTCCCCTCCTTCCAAGCACCTGCTGGAACGTCCTTGGTTCCCAAGAGAAAGTATTTTGTTTTGCCTACAAACCCCAGCTATCTTTACTCCCCCCCCCACTCTCTTTTCCTTAGTTTCCTTAGTGGTGGCAGCTCTGAAGCCTCAAAATGGCCTCAGTAAGATCAGCTTCAGGGTGGTTTATTTCGAAGATCTGACAAACCAGTGGTGAAATGTAAAATTTGTTACTACTGGTTCTGTGGGCATGGCTTGGTAATGTGACTGGGTGGGCATGGCCAACTTTTTTTTTTAACTTTTAAAAGCATTTTTTCTACAACCTCTAATCGTCAGAGGCTTTTGTTTTCTTTTAAAAGCTTTTTTTTTTTTTTTGCTTTTAAAAGAAAAAAAAGTCTCTGATGATCGCACGGCTCAGCTGGGCATGGGGGGTGGGCAGGGATTTTTGCTACCAGTTCTCCGAACCACCTGCCTTTCATCGCTACTGGATCGGGCGATCCGGTCCAAACCGGGAACATTTCACCCTTGTGACAAACCATGACAGCCTCCAACATATCCAAATAAAATTCATATCCAAGGGTCCTTGAGACCTAGAAAAGTCCCAGCTGTGAAAGCAAAGAAGAGGAAAAGAGAACAAATGAAATCAGGATAAAGGACGAATGTCAAGATTGCCCCTTTAACTGTCCATCTTCAAACCAGAAACTCAAGCAAAGCCCACACATGAGTTTCTAGTTATCTTTGCCAAAACAGGTGGCTGTTACATTTTTATGCTACACATTTGTTATAGGGGAATAGCATTCCTATAGCAGAAATTAGCCAAGAATGAAATCTGGGCAATTCTGCATAAGAACCACAATCTTCTGGAACCGTACTCCCACCCCCCTTCTCATTATAATTTGACTGGTTTGCAAGTTTTATAGAACACATATATCTCAAACCGAGCCCAATTGGCAGCTGTGGGCAATTGTTAAGTATTGGCTAAATAATGGGAAGGTGAGCGAGGACTTTATATTTCCAACTAATTATGGAGATGGAGAAGAGATGCCAGAATCCCAGGGAAAGGAAAAGAACCATCTATTATATGACTTTCCTTGGATGGCTGCTTAATAAAGACATTTATTTGCAGAACGTTATTCAATGTGGGGGGGGGGAGGAACTGTCATTATTTTCTCACCCTAGGAAGCTCAGTTGCCTACTAAGAGTTGGGATTTTAAACATGAATGCTGAGCATCCGAGTTTAAATGTTAGAATGCAGTCCAATGTCAGGTGGCGAGAACCACGAAGGACACCAGAAATCGCTCAAAGTAGCTTCTTTATTGTCGTTCGCCTGTAGACAGGAATCTTGCCAGACTAAAGTACTCTTTGCATAACTGTTAGATAAACACTTTGAAGATTTAGGGTGGATCCCTTGGGGGCACTTTCTGCATGCCAATGAATTATACAACTCAGCGCTGGATTCCACCACACCCAATCAGTATTGTGTAGGAATATTGTTGGTCCTTGCGCTGAGCTTGTTCTATCTCAATGTTGTTCGCTTATTTTTGTATACCTCCCAGTTATACCAACCACAACAATGAAGATTTGATTTGACTTTGATTTGAAGAGGATAGCTTCCTCTCAGGAGATGTTCCCTAAATTGGATTCCAGTCCCCATAATCCTCAGCCAGTGTATCCACAGGCATCTGGTTGATGCAGAGGATAGGTGGATGTCCTCTTTTTCATCCTGCAATTCCTTTCTCCAGGGTTTAGCTACAGGGGTGGGCTTCAAAAATTTTAGCAAGGGGTTCTCTACCCAGTTGCTAGGTGGGTGTGGCCCTGGTGGGCGTGGCCTAGGCAGCCTCTTGCACCATGGCCGGAGGGGGGCATTTTTGCCCTCCCTGGGCTCCGGAGCAGTGATGTGATTCAATTTTTTTTACTACCAGTTCTGTGGGCGTAGCTTGATGGGCATGGCATGGCTTAGTGGGAGTGGCTTGGTGGGCGTGGCAGGGAAAGGATACTGTAAAATCTTCATTCCCTCCCCACTCCAGGGGAAGGATACTGCAAAATCCCCATTTCCTCCCAATAAGCTGGGACTCAGGAGACATAGAATAGATGGGGGCAAGGCCAGTCAGAGGTGCTATTTACCGGTTCTCCAAACTACTCAAAATTTCCACTACCGGTTCTCCAGAACTGGTCAGAACCTGCTGAATACCATCTCTGCTCCTGAGGCTTTCCTTGAGCCTTCAGGAGGACGAAAACGGCCTCCCCAGGCTCTGGAGGCCAGAAATGGGCCCATTTCCGGCCTTCCTGAACTTCCGGTAGGCCCATTTTTTGCCCTCCTTGAGCCTCCGCACATGTCCTGCCCTTACCTACATCCAAAACGAGCCACGCGGGGACTCCTGGGAGGGGCAGGGTGGGGTCGGCGGGGCCAGCCGACAGTTCTCCAAACTGCACAGAATCTTAGCTAGAGATTCTCCCGAACTCCTGTGAACCCCCAGCAGCCCACCCCTGTTAAACTAGCTTCCCTTCAATCCCAAGGGATATCATTGAGTTCAAACTATGTTTTTTTCCCCCCGAAGAACACCTTTTAAGAGCGTTTGGGGGAGGAAGATTACTTTGTTATACTTCATAATATCTGAGATATTAGCGCTTTGGGAGAATAATTATATGGAGCCTAAAATGTGATTTTTATGGGAAAGGACTATAAAAGGCTCTCGAGTCGGGGACATGTTTTGCATACAAAAGGCTCAAAGTCAGCCTTCAGCAAAGCATCCCTTAATACATATATATTCAAAGGGGGAGAAGAGAGAATCACACAGGAGGCAATCGCACGAGGCGCTCCCATGTAACACCTCTCCTGCATGAGCTGCACTGGCTCCCAGTGGTCTTCCGGGTGCGCTTCAAGGTGTTGGTTCTCACCTTTAAAGTGCTCCATGGCATAGGACCGGGATACCTGCGAGACCACCTGCTGTTACAACCTCCCACCGGCCAGTACGCTTGCACAGAGAGGGCCTCCTCGGGGTGCCGTCGGCCAAGCAATGTCGGCTGGCAGCCCCCAGGGGGAGAGCCTTCTCTGTGGGGGCACCTGCCCTGTGGAATGAGCTACCTCCTGAAATACGACTGATCCCTGACCTCTGTGCTTTCCGAAAAGCCCTGAAGACTTATTTATTCCAACAAGCTGGCCTAGCTTAAATGGTTTTAATAGGGTTTTTAAATTTTTGATTTTATTGATTCTGGGTTTTAAATTGGGAACTTTTCGATTTTGCAGATCTGGGATTTTAAATTGGAAATGCCGACGATTTAATTTATTTTAGTTTTTTCGTAACTTTTGTACTATATGTGTTTGAAGTTTGGCTGTCCACCGCCCTGAGTCCCCCTGGGGAGAAGGGCGGTATATAAGTTGAATTAATAAATAAACTTGAAATAATTCTGAGTTACATGCAGGGGTGGGCTTCAAAAATTTTAGCAAGGGGTTCTCTTCCCGGTTTCTGGGTGGGTGTGGCCTAGTCGTCATCCTGCACCACAGCGGGTGGTGGTGCCATTTTTGTACTCCCCGGGCTCCGGAGGCTTAACTCGAGCCTCCAGGAGGGCAAAAATGGCCTCCCCAGGCTCCGGAGGCCCCCTGGAGGCTGTAAACCCTTCCCGAACTTCCAGTAGGCCCATTTTTCGCCCTCCCCAAGCCTCTGTGTGTGCCCTGCACTTACCTGCATCTAAATGGGACCGTGTGGGGACTCCTGGGAAGGGAGGGGTGGGCAGGGCCAGCCAAGAGTGGGATTTGGGGGGTTCTCTGAACTGCACAGAATCTTGGTGATCTGCTTTCCTGATGCAGTCTTTTTATTATTTTCATTTTGATAGGTTAATATCTGCATCCTTATTGCCGTGACCAGAGTAATTTCGAGAATAAGTGCTGAAAATTATAAGGTCCATGGAGAGGCTAACGCGTTCAAGTAAGTTTGCTTTCCTTTTTTTAATTTTTTTTTTATTGTTAGCAGGAGTTTAAACTCCTAAGAACATCTGAACTGCTACTGAATGCCCAGTCCAGAGTCATAAAATCTGGGTTGTTGTTTTTTTAAAAAAGGGATTGTGTTCTGAATCAAGGTTGGATGAATTCTGCAGCGCTGTTTATCTAATCCCAAAGGAGGAGATAACGTCCAGTCTTGTGAAGATCACAAGCATTAAAAATACATCTAAATGTCCAATAAAGTTAGCTGTTGGGCACTTTTTGAAAAATAGACTTTAGGCACAGAGGGTTAAAAATTGGGATCCCATCCAAGTGATACTCCTGGGATTATTTTGTAAAGAGTTTTCATCCCTGTATTTGAATTTCACAAGCAATTCTTTTATTGAGTGCTAAGCACAAGGAAAATACTTCTTTCTTTCCTTCCTTCCTTCCTTCCTTCCTTCCTTCCTTCCTTCCTTCCTTCCTTCCTTTTCCTTCTCTTTCCTTCCTTCCTTTTCCTTCTCTTTCCTTCTCTCCTACCTTCTGTTGGAAAAGGAATATCCAGTCCAGTTCCAAGCCAGGGGAAAGGCACTGGAAAGAAAATGGAGGCTGACTGCAAGGAAAGAAAGTTTATTTGGTTTCCAGAAACTTCAGTGACAGCAGCATGTTTCTGGGGTGGTTGACAAAATGGCTGAGTTAGTGGAGTGGGTGGAACTTTATAGGGTTCTGAGATGCTCCAGGGGGTTGTGCAATTTAGTGAGCCTTGTGTCTTTTACTATTTCAATAGTGGTGGGTTAAACCTATTATGTCCTAAAGGTCCTGTCCTGTTCTTAGAATTTGGGTGGGGGAATGTACATTCTTAATCCCATTAGCTCCAGCCTGGGGGAGCTTGTGGCTGAAGGCATTTTATTTATGAATAGGATGCCCTAGACTTTCTGAATGGATACAAAATCTGCATCCCTAAAGGCCAGTCTTAATTTGAAGCTGTTTTCCTATGGCAGGAAGACTGTGGCTGCTTTCTCCCTTTGTTAATATTTTTCTCCATTTCTCCTTTGGGGAAATATTCTATCCTGCCTCTTTTTAATATTAAGAATAAAGAATATTAATCTAGGGAGGGGGGCTTCCTACACTTCTCTTTCTCCTCCTCCTCCTCCTCCCATTGTTTTCTTTTGCCTCTTTCTTTCATCCTTCCTTCTCCTTCTCATTTCATTCTTCTTCTCTCCTTCCTTCTCTCCTTCTCTCCCTCCCTCCCTCCCTTCGTTCCTTCCTCCTCCTCCCTAGAAAATTATTCAGTCTTTGGAACCTGTCAATCTTCCATCTGCCTGGCTTCTCTCATTTGGTATTTGCCATGGCAGAAATTTGCAAGATTCATCAGGTGCATTTAACAGACTGGGAACGAAACAACAACCTTCGCTCTTGATTAGCACAGCATGAGATATTTTTAGCCCTTTAGGACAGGTGACACAAGAAAATGGAACTAAAAATAAGCAGCACCGGGCACTAATATTTTTCCCCTTCGTTCTCGCAAGAGAGAGAGTCCTAGATAATTTCTTATCAATGCTGAAGAATGCTTCCTTGCTGTAGTAAACCCTAGGACAGGAGTGGAGCACATAATGAATATTATGTACGTTATCAGTTGGGCCAATCAGGGACCCTACGAGGCTTTAAGTAACCTACAACTCCTTACAGAAAGTGCTTAATAACACAGCTTGCGATTCCAGTTGGCAAGCACCAAACCGGAATTTGTGTACACAAATTTGCCCATGTGCGCTGAAGGGACCTGGAGATGGAGTTTGCTGGCAGCAAGATTATTTGCTGGAGAGCAATCTTTGCCTTGTTGCAGCTGGCCAGAACAAATTGGTGCAATTGTTGCCAGTAGTTTTCCCTGACACGCGGGGTGTTGAGCCCGTGCTGATTTCGATGAATGGCATATTGAAGGAAGGCGTCAATCTGGCCCTTATCACTGCTTACCGATCGGATCATCTGAGCCCACTAAGCAAATTCTGATTTCCGGAGGAGACTAAGCTTCGAAGACTTTACGCATAACTCTCGTAAGCAAGTAGCGGAGATTGTTTTATTTGCTTCTGTGGTGGATCATGCCTGGTGGACGAAGGTTGCAGAACCTGTTAGGGTGCGTGTAAAAGTATTTGTTGCTTGTGCAACGAGCAGAGCAGAAACACACAGGGAAGGAGATAAACGTGCAGCTCGTGTGAGAAAAATACTTTATATACAAGATAACCAGCAGTCTCGGTGTAAGTAAAACAGTCCAAGGTCATAAACAGTAATATCAGTCCAGTAAGTATCGTCCCTTACCAAAGCAAACAGACTTTAGTAACTCTCGGTATGTAGTACCATAGAACAATCCAGTCTAACACCAATCAGCAGAAAGACGCAGGAAGCAACAGGAACAGGATCAATCAGGAACAAGGAACGCTTCTCTGCGCTGCTTATTTATGCACTGTAGCCTAATTACAGGGTTCAGCAAACCCTGATTACGGGGCTCAGTTGTTTCTTAAAGAAACAGATATATTGCCTGACCAACAGGTTAGGAGTAAGCTACAAGCTGAACCTAACAGAACCAACACCTGTTCCTCTATTCAAGGATGCTAGTTTTTTCAGTTTTGCACTCATGTCAGAAGCACCAAGGGGCTTCCAGGTTGAAAGGATGGGGACATCACTGTTGCCTTGGAAATGCCCAATTGGGGGTTTCTTGCACATCCCTGGCAGGAGCTGGAGCGAAGGATGTGAGCTCAACCTGCCCACAGCGACTCTTGGGTCACCTGCTCAGTGTTCCGAGCACTCCAAACACTTTGCCATGGTGGCGCAGTGGTTAGAAGGCAGTATTGCAGGTTATTTCTGCTGACTGCCGGCTGCCTGCAGTTTGGCAGTTTGATTCTAACCGGCTCAAGGTTGACTCGGTCTTCCATTCTTCTGAGGTTGGTAAAAATGAGGACCCAGATGGTTGGGGGCAATAGGCTGATTCTGTAAACGGCTTCGAGAGGGCTGGAAAGCACTGTGAAGCAGGACAGAAGTCTAAGTGTTATTCCTCTTCCTTTTCCCTTTCCTTCCTTCCTTCCTTCCTTCCTTCCTTCCTTCCTTCCTTCCTTCCTTCCTTCCTTCCTCGGTGAACAATGGTTAGAATGCAGTATTGCAGGCTAACTCTGCCCACTGCTGGAAGTTCGATTCTGACCGGCTCAAGGTTGACTCAGACTTCCATCCTTCTGAGGTCAGTAAAATGAGGACCTAGATTGTTAGGGGCAATAGGCTGATTCTGTGAACCACTTATAGAGGACTGGAAAGCATTGTGAAGTGGTATATAAGTCTAAGTGCTATTGCTATTGCTATTTTCCTCTTCCTTTTCCCCTTCCTTCCCTCCCTCCCTCCCTCCCTCCCTCCCTCCCTCCCTCCCTCCCTCTCTCGGTGAATAATGGTTAGAATGGAATATTGCAGATTAACTCTGCCAACTACCAGCGGTTTGTTTTCACTGACTCAGGGTTGACTCAGCCTTCCATCCTTTCAAGGTTGGTAAAACGAGGACCCAGATTGTTGGGGGCAATAGGCCAACCTACCCTCTGGAATCAGCTGCCCCCAGAGATAAGAAGAATCCATGACCTCAATGCTTTCCGTCGTTCCCTGAAAACCTATCTTTTTCAGCAAGCCGGGTTGGCTTAGAAGAAATTTTTAGATTCTTTTAATTAGTTTGTGATTCTTAACTTTCGGGCCAAAATTTATATATATTTTTAAATGTTTTAATATTTGTATTCTATGTTTTTTTATCTTGGCTGTACACCGCCCTGAGTCCTCAGGGAGAAGGGCGGTATATAAATTGGAAATTAAATTAAATTAAATTAAACTGTAAAACCGCTTAGAGAGGGCTGTAAAAGCACTGTGAAGCAGGACAGAAGTCTAAGTGCTATTCCTCTTCCTTTTCCCCTTCCTTTCTTCCTTCCTTCCTTCCTTCCTTCCTTCCTTCCTTCCTTCCTTCCTCCCTCCCTCCCTCCCTCCCTCCCTCCCTCCCTCCCTCCCTCGGTGAACAATGGTTAGAATGCAGTATTACAGATTAACTCTGCCCATTGCCAGCAGTTTGATTCTTACTGGCTCAGGGTTGACTCAGCCTTCCATCCTTCCGAGGTGGGTAAAATGAGGACCCAGATTGTTGGGGGCAACAATTACAGGGGCCGGAAAGCACTGTGAAGCAGTATAGAAGTCGAGGTGCTATTGCTATTTGCTCCTCAAAGACGGTAGTAAATGCATGGGGTAGAGATTCCTCTCACCGCAACAACCCCAAGTCTTCAAACAGAAAAAAACGAGGCATCTGGGTTGCAAAACATATTAAAAGTCTGTTGGCTCTTCCTTTGGAACAAAACTGCTCCACAGTTCTATTATTTGCACACTCTGGTTTTAGGTTTGGTATCTTTGCCACTGTTGCTGAAGAGAATCTAAAGTTGGAACCAAATGTTGTGCATTTACAGGGAGTCCTAGATTTACAACGGTTCATTTTATGCCATTTTTCACACTTATGTCTGTTTCAGCACCCCCATGGTCATATGACCGAAGTTCAGATGCTTAACAACAGTTTATGACAGTTATGGCATCCCAGGGTCATGGGATCCCCACTTACGACCTTCCCAGCTGGCTTCCACCAAGTAAAATCAATGGGGGAAGTCAGATTGGTTTAATGACCGTGCTGATCCACTCAACAATGGCCATGATTCGCTTAACAACAAAATGGTTGTAAAATTGGGCGCCTCTCGCTTAACAACCGCCGTGCTTATCAACGGAAATTCTGGTCCCAATTGCGGTCGTAAGGCGAGGACTACCTGTATGCACAGCCTCCCTGTCAGCTATTAAAAGGGATAATTGGTGCCTCCGGGAAGGACGGGAGGCTTGGCGGGGCTGTCTCCTGCCTTGAGCTTGTGCATATTATTTGTCTTGCCTGGCAGAAGCTCATTAACGGCTTCTCGATAAACTGCCAGGGCCAAGTCTTACGGAATGATTTTGCTCATC